GAAGTGCACATATAGTATGGGATGTCCTCTATAAGAACTGACCATTGTCTTTTTCTACTTATTTGAAATGCGGTCTTTATAGCACTTTATTTTATGTTAATACCCCCTTTCTCCAAAATGCTGCAGTAAAAAGGTTTCATGTGAAGTACATATATATGGTATGTCCTGTATAAGAACTGACCATTGTTTTTTTCTACTTATTTGAAATAGGGTCTTTATAGCACTTTATATTGGCTTAATACCCCCTTTCTCCAAAATGCTGCAGTAAAAAGGTTTCATGTGAAGTACACACATAGTATGGTATGTCCTGTATAAGAACGGACCATAGTTTTTTTCTACTTATTTGAAATGCGGTCTTTATAGCACTTTATATTATGTTAATACCACCTTTCTCCAAAAGCTGCAGTAAATAGGTTTCATGTGAAGTACAGATATAGTATGGGATGTCCTATTATAAGAACTGACCATTGTCTTTTTCTACTTATTTGAAATGCGGTCTTTATAGCACTTTATATTATGTTAATACCCCTTTCTCCAAAACGCTGCAGTAAATAGGTTTCATGTGAAGTGCACATATAGTATGGGATGTCCTCTATAAGAACTGACCATTGTCTTTTTCTACTTATTTGAAATGGGGTCTTTATAGCACTTTATATTATGTTAATACCCCCTTTCTCCAAAATGCTGCAGTAAAAAGGTTTCATGTGAAGTACATATATAGTATGGTATGTCATGTATAAGAACTGACCATTGTCTTTTTCTACTTATTTGAAATGGGGTCTTTAAAGCACTTTATATCATGTTAATACCCCATTTCTCCAAAATGCTGCAGTAAAAAGGTTTCATGTGAAGTACACATATAGTATGGTATGTCCTGTAAAAGAACTGACCATAGTTTTTTTCTACTTATTTGAAATGCGGTCTTTATAGCACTTTATATTATGTTAATACCCCCTTTCTCCAAAACTCTGCAGTAAATAGGTTTCATGTGAAGTACAGATATAGTATGGGATGTCCCATTATATGAACTGACCATTGTCTTTTTCTACTTATTTGAAATGCGGTCTTTATAGCACTTTATATTATGTTAATACCCCCTTTCTCCAAAACGCTGCAGTAAATAGGTTTCATGTGAAGTGCACATATAGTATGGGATGTCCTGTATAAGAACTGACCATTGTCTTTTTCTACTTATTTGAAATGGGGTCTTTATAGCACTTTATATTATGTTAATACCCCCTTTCTCCAAAATGCTGCAGTAAAAAGGTTTCATGTGAAGTACATATATAGTATGGTATGTCATGTATAAGAACTGACCATTGTCTTTTTCTACTTATTTGAAATGGGGTCTTTAAAGCACTTTATATCATGTTAATACCCCCTTTCTCCAAAATGCTGCAGTAAAAAGGTTTCATGTGAAGTACACATATAGTATGGTATGTCCTGTATAAGAACTGACCATAGTTTTTTTCTACTTATTTGAAATGCGGTCTTTATAGCACTTTATATTATGTTAATACCCCCTTTCTCCAAAACGCTGCAGTAAATAGGTTTCATGTGAAGTACAGGTATAGTATGGGATGTACTATTATAAGAACTGACCATTGTCTTTTTCTACTTATTTGATATGGGGTCTTTATAACATTTTGAATTACATTAGTAACCTAATACTACAAAATGCTGCAGTAAAAAAGATTTATTGTGAAATATACATATAGTATGGGATGTCCTGTATAAGAACTGACCATTGTCTTTTTCTACTTATTTGAAATGGGGTCTTTATAGCACTTTATATTGTGTTAATACCCCCTTTCTCCAAAATGCTGCAGTAAAAAGGTTTCATGTGAAGTACACATATAGTATGGTATGTCCTGTATAAGAACTGACTATTGTTTTTTTCTACTTATTTGAAATGCAGTCTTTATAGCACTTTATATTGGCTTATTACCCCAATTCTCCAAAACAGTGCAGTAAAAAGTTTTTATGTGAAGTACACATAAAGTATGGGATGTCCTGAATAAGAACTGACCATTGTTTCTTTCTACTTATTGGAAATGGGGTCTTTATAGTACTTTATATTATGTTAATACCCCATTTGTCCAAAACAGTGCAGTAAGAAAGTTTCATGTCAAGTACATAGCATGGGATGTCCTATGTAAGAACTGACCATTGTTTTTTTCTACTTATTGGAAATGGGCTCTTTATAGCACTATAAAATATGTTAGTACCCCCTTTCTCCAAAATGCTGCAGTAAAAAGGTTTCATGTGAAGTACACATATAGTATGGTATGTCCTGTATAAGAACTGACCATTGTTTTTTTCTACTTATTTGAAATAGGGTCTTTATAGCACTTTATATTGGCTTAATACCCAGTTTCTCCAAAATGCTGCAGTAAAAAGGTTTCATGTGAAGTACATATATAGTATGGTATGTCCTGTATAAGAACTGACCATTGTCTTTTTCTACTTATTTGAAATGGGGTCTTTATAGTATTTTATATTATGTTAATACCCCCTTTCTCCAAAATGCTGCAGTAAAAAGGTTTCATGTGAAGTACAGATATAGTATGGGACGTCCTGTATAAGAACTGACCATTGTTTTTTTCTACTTATTTGAAATGGGGTCTTTATAGCACTTTATATTATGTTAATACCCCCTTTCTCGAAAATGCTGTAGTAAAAAGGTTTCATGTGAAGTACACATATAGTATGGTATATCCTGTATAAGAACTGACTATTGTTTTTTTCTTCTTATTTGAAATGCGGTCTTTATAGCACTTTATATCAGGTTATTACCCCGTTTCTCCAAAACAGTGCAGTAAAAAGTTTTTATGTGAAGTACACATATAGTATGGGATGTCCTGAATAAGAACTGACCATTGTTTCTTTCTACTTATTGGAAATGGGGTCTTTATAGTACTTTATATTATGTTAATACCCCATTTCTCCAAAACAGTGCAGTAAGAAAGTTTCATGTCAAGTACATAGTATGGGATGTCCTTTGTAGAACTGACCCTTGTCTTTTTCTACTTATTAAAAATGGGGTCTTTGTAACACTTTAAATCATATTAATATACAATTTCTCCAAAACAGTGCAGTAAGAAGGTTTAATGTGAAGTACACATATAGTACGGGATGTCCTGTATAAGAACTGACCATTGTTTATTTCTACTTATTTAAAACGGGGTCCTTATGTTACTTTATACTATGTTAATTCCCCCGTGTCTTTAAAATGCTGCAGTAGAAAGCTTTCATGTGAAGTACACACAGAGATAAGGGTGTCGTGTATAAGATCTGACCATTGTTTTTCTCTACTTATTTGAAAGGTGGACTTTATAGTACATTTTTTCTATGTTAACACCCCGTTTCTCTAAAATGCTGCAGTAAAAAAGGTTTCATGTGAAGTACATATATAGTATGAGATGTCCTGTATAAGAACCGACCATTGTTTTTTTCTACTTATTTGAAGTGGGGTTTTTATATCACTTTGCTGTGTTAATACCTCATTTCTCCAAAACAGTGCAGTAAGAAGGTTTCATGTAATGTACACACATAGTATGGGATGTCCTGTACTAGAACTGACCATTGTTTTTTTCTACTTATTTGAAATGAGGTCTTTATAGCACCTTATTTTATTTCAATACCCCTTTTCTCCAAATTGCTGCAGTAAAAAAAGTTTTATGTGAAGTACAGATATAGTATGGATGTCCTGTAAAGGAACTGACCATTGTTTTTTTTTTTCTACTTATTTGAATTGGGGTCTTTAGAACACTTTGAAATATATTATATACAATTTCCCCAAAACACTGCAGTAAAAAGGTTTCATGTGAAGTACACATATAGTATGGGATGTCCTGTATAAGAACTGACCATAGATTTTTTCTACCTATTTAAAATGTGGTCTTTATAGTATTTTATATTATGTTAATACCCCGTTTCTTTAAAATGCTGCAGTAAAAACGCTTCATGTGAAGTACATATATAGTATAGTATGTCCTGTATAAGAACTGTCCATTGTTTTTTTCTACTTATTAGAAATGGGGTTTTTATATCACTTTATAATAGGTTAATACCCAGTTTCTCCAAAACGCTGCAGTAAAAAAGATTTCATGTGAAGTACACATATAGTATGGGATGTCCTGAATAAGAACTGACCATTGTTTCTTTCTACTTAATCGAAATGGGGTCTTTATAACACTTTAGATTATGTTAATGTCCCACTTCTCCAGATAGCTGGAGTAAGAAGTGTTTATATGTAGTATGCATATTGTATGTGATGTTCTGTACAGGAACTGATCATTGTTTTTTGTCTATTTATTGAAAATTGGGTCTTCATAACACTTTGAGTAATGTTAATGCCCAATTTCTCCAAAACACTGCAGTAACAAGTCTTTATATGAGGTTTAGTATGGGATGTCCTGTATAAGACCTGACTATTGTTTTTTTCTACATCTTTTAAATGAGCAATTTTTTTTCTCCAAATTGCTGCAGTAAAAATGATTCATATGTTGTATATATAGCATGGGACATCTAGTATCAGACCTGATCACTCTTTTATTTAACTTATTCCAAACAATGTATTTATAACACTTTAAAGACTTTATAGCTCATTAATAGCCCATTTCTCCAAAATGCTGCAGTAAGTTATTATGAGGTATGCATATAATATTGGATGTCCTGTCCATAGTTTTCTTCTGTTAACTTAAATGAGGTCTTTCACATGAGGTATGCATGTACATCCTGTATCAGAACCAAACTTTGTTTTTTTTTCTACTTATTTCTTTATAGCACTTTAAAGTGTGTTAATGGTACATTTCTCCAAAATGCTGCAATAAAACAGGCTTCATATGATGTATGCTTAGTATTTGACTTCCTGCATCGATCCTATTGTTGTTCTATTCTACTTATAACAAATAATAAGGTCTTTACAGTCATCTAAAGTGTAATAATGCCCCATATCCCATATACTGAAAGAAGCATACATTTTTAAATACCCTTTAAATAAAACCAACATATATTTGTAACTTAAACAATGCTATGTTGGACTACTTTATGATTATTTTCACTTTCTGAGGTTAGGCACGATGTATAAAACTGCATTCAACTTTATTTGCAATGTACTGTAGTTGGCTAGGAGAAGTAGAAACGCATTCTGTGTATTTAGAAATCGTATATTTATTCTGTCCGTTTGATCTGCTATAAAATCATTTGAAGCAAAAAGATAGACTTGAGGAAATTAAAGGTAAGCCCAGAAACCAATTTCTTAAAATAACAACAGTCAAAAAAGCTAATAAATTGTTTAATAAAGCATACGTGGGAGGAAAGGGGGATAAACTTATATTTCGTTGTCATCTCTCTGTTCTGGGCGAAATGGGTGCTCTGTGGAGCGCTCTCTGTGTGGCTGCTGACATTACCGTAATGATAATAATACGCGCGCACCAAAATATAAAGCGCGGCTGGCTTGACTGTGTTTTTCCGAACCGCGGCTGGCTTGACCGCAGTGCTGGAGTGGAGCTGAAGCGGGGCCGGTGTGGAGCTCTCCGCGGTGCTGAAACCGGTCCCACAGCGACGTTCATCGACGTGAATGCAAGACCGACGGAGGACATTCACATCCAGCCTGCGAGGACAGCATGAGGAGGGTTTTCATGCCCACACCGCTGCTCTTACTGAGCTGTTTCGGAGCGTCGTGGGTCTTGGCTGGTAAGTTCGCGAGATTAATATAAAAAAATATGGAGCATGCATTTAATTGCACGTGCTTTTTTGTATGTTATTACATCTAATCAGGGGGCGGAAACATATACAGTTGTGGTCATGCAATGACTGAGAGAGCATATTGGAAAATATAAAGCATGCAAACCATTCCGTCATGCTTGATGTGGGAAATATTAAAGCATTATTACACACCTGTTGACTCATAACACACACACATATATCATAGAATTCAATTAATGTGTGCAATCTGAAATTATTAATACGGTCAAACTGTTCAATTAAACTCAACTTTATTTGCATAGCGCTTTTCAGAATAACTAACATTGGTTTTACTAACATTTGTTAAGGTAAGTGCTTGCAAATTATGTATATGGGCTGAATTTAAACAAACAAAGTTGAACATCTCTAAATTTAATGCTTGTGTATATATTCAGCCCATATAAATTATTTGCAACCACTTGCCATGTATAAAAACAATTAGTAAATCCAATGAATAATTTTTCAGTTTGTATTTTTATTTTTTTCATATTTATGAATTGCATTTTGTACCTTAATGCCATGCAAATCTCATCAAATTGCAATCACAGAGAGACTGTACTGACAGACACTTCACTATATACTGTCCTGCATAAATGTCAGCAGCTAATTGAAGCACGACACATTAATGCAGCACCATAAAGACGTTTCCTCTAATGCACACACCACGCCAGAGGATCAATCATAAATCCTAACTACAGCCTACAAACTACATCAACTCAATGGGCTATAAATTTAACATCCTAAATGCACCGTATTCGAGCTCCAGTAAAGAGGGAAAAGCCATGAATCAGGATGTGAACAGGCTCTTCTGGCAGCTGCTTTTAGAGGCTTCAGTGACAGGAGCTTCAGCTTTCTGGAGAAAAAAGAACATGTGCGAGTTTACTTTGGGGAAATGCATTAAATGCTCAAATGTAGCTGTGAGAGAAAAAAAATAGAAGATGAAGAGAAAGAAATATGGCAAAATAATAGCCTGAGCACCTGTCTGTGCAAATCAGGTCAGCATAGTAAAATATGATGTGATTTAGGGCTTAAAAGGAAGGAGTTTGCACCAAAAATAAACACATTAGCCTAATGTCAGCAGTTATGAAATGTTATTTCACTTGTAGAATCAAAAATACATTTTGAGGCTTATAGAGTATGTGTAGGGAGTGGCACAGTGGGTAGCACTATCACCTCACAGCAAGAAGGACGTTGTTTCGAGTCCCAGCTGGGTCAGTAGGCATTTTTGTGTAAAGTTTGTTGTATTTCTCAACTATAAATGTACTTCTTGAATAGTGATGAAATTTCATTTTAGCCTGTCCTTACTTTTTATGCATATGTAGTTTACAATAGTAAATTAACACTGCATTATGCCTAAATGAAGCATGCAATCCTTTTTTAAAGTCGACTATCCAATTACTACATTTCACTGTCTGTTTTTCTATCATTCCTTTATCTTTATTATTTTAATTACACATATAATCAGTATATTTTATTATTAATACATTTTATATAGGCGTTTTTTGTTCTGGGTTTGTTGGGGATGCTTTATGAATATATGGAGACCATAAACTAAATACTACACTAATAAATGCTGGGTTGTTTTACCCTATTGTTGGGTCAAATATGGACAAACCCTACTGTATGTCTAAGTTTTTTCATTTAATTAAAATTACACTTTTTTCCATTGATTGGGTTTGTGAGTTGGCACATTTGACCCAAAATTGGGTTGAAATTCATTAATTTTCCTTCGGTTTAGTCCCTTTATTAATCAAGGGTCACCACAGTGGAATGAACCGCCTACTTTTCCAGCATATGTTTTACACAGCGGATGCCCTTCCAGCTGCAACCAAGTACTGGAAAACATTCAAACACATTCATTCACAAACATAAATATTTTGTTATTTTGTTTATTCAACTCACCTATAGCGCAAAAGTGGGAGAAACCAGAGCAAAACCCACGCCAACACGGGGAGAACATGCTAACTCTACACAGAAATGCCAACTGACCCAGCCAGGATTCGAACCAGCAACCTTCTTGCTGTGAGGCAATAACAAAATAACCCAGCATTTTCTGCATAAAACCTATAAATATAGTCCATATTACTCGTGCAACATATTTTCATATCACAGCGTTCAGACAGAAAAGAAGTCAATATTTACAGTATATGTGGGTTGTTTACTCACTGTGAATCTGGATTTGGACCAGAACACTTTCACCTCTTTTCCTTCCAGACATTTTCTCACTCATTTAGTCAACGTTTCCACAGCAACCAAGCACAAACCTATGGAGATTTACATTTGTGTATTTCTGCGTTAAGCACACATCCCTTTTCCCAAAAACATGTTCACACTCACTAGCTCATGTTTAATGTTACAGTGTAAAAGAGACGGATTTATTTCAGGATTTATTCGCAAAAACAGTGCTCAGCATATATGAGTGCACCCATAGGCGGAGGATGGACAAATTCCAGGGTATATATGAGGTGCCCTTTAATGCATTTAAAAAGTTTTGCGACCGACAAATCAGAGGTGTCAACAAAAGCACAGCCCATCACCAAAAATCTATTATATTCAACACACGCATTAAATTATTTTATTAAACTTTGGGTCAGTTTATTTATTAATTTGTATTATAAATTTTATTTAATAATTTAATTAAAATTATTCTGTTCATTAAGGCGGCATTTATTATATACAAGTTCAATTATTATATATAAGTTTAATTGTTTAATACTTATTTATTAAATATTTACTTATTACTTACACTGTATGTAGTTTCAAATGAAATTATTAATCCTTGTTGCTTTTTTTACTATGGCCATTAATAATAATAATAATAATTATTATTATATTATATTATATTATATTATATTATATTATATTATATTATATTATTTTATATTATATTATATTATATTATATTATATTATATTATATTATATTATATTATATTATGTTATGTTATATTATATTATATTATATTAATTATATTATATTATATTATATTATATTATATTATATTATTTTATGTTATGTTATATTATATTATATTATATTATATTATATTATATTATATTATATTATATTATTTTATGTTATGTTATATTATATTATATTAATTATATTATATTATATTATATTATATTATATTATATTATATTATATTATTTTATGTTATGTTATATTATATTATATTAATTATATTATATTATATTATATTATATTATATTATATTATATTATATTATATTATATATTATATTATATTATATTATATTAATGGAAGTCCTCTGTCCAACACACAAAAATGTCAGTCAACATAAACAATAGCCACTGCCCTACCTAATGCAGCAAAATCCTATCCTTTTAGACCAGGCATTATAAGGGTTGATAAAGTCTTTTTTGTTTAGTCCTGTAATGTTACTTTCGATATGCAGCTAGGGGCCAGACATTTTAAAATGAATAGACCTAAATAGGGTAGACCTCAGTGCCTAGAATAGCTAGTATTTTATATTTATGATCTCTGGTAATATACAGTAGTGATTTATTTAACAAGTGACATTTTTGAGCATTGTTTTTTGAGCAACTACCCATTTCATTTAATGCAGAAAACAAGTTAAACCAGAATAATATATTATTATACCTCTCTCGTAATACTCATTTGTCATTTAATACTTATGTAACTTAATCAAATCAAAATAGTTGGCTGGGCAGCAACTTTGGTTTTGTTTTCAAAGCTGCTGCAAACTCCAGTAACAAGCAGCGCTCATCAGTGCAAAGTGCAGAGTTGGACAGTTCCATTTTTGTGCAGAGGGGGACTTTAAATTTGATCGACAAACTTACAATCACTAAGGTGTTCTGTTAATCATTAACTAATCATAAATTACATTCATATTCCGCCTTACACTCGTTACTTGTATTCAATGTAGTTTTTTTCGGTAACACTTTACAATAACAGTACATGAATAATGATGTATTAATATGTAAACTAAACATTAGTTTATTATAAATTAATGATGAGTTAAGGTATGCACTGATCATGAATTAACTTTAACTACAACATGATTCACATGAGTTCATGTGTGAATGATGGCTACCTTAATTACTTGTTAGTACATGATTGTTTGTTATTTAATGTATTAATTACCACATTAGTTTATGCTTAATTTAATCATGATGAACTCATGATATGTTAATGTATATTTATGTTGTGACTTTACTTGGAGGGGCACATCATCATTAACCCATTCTTAACTACTCATGAACTCCTTATGCACGTCCAACTAGTGAGTTTACACTGAATAACAATAGAAAGGTGTTCTGTCAACATCAACATGAACAGGAGTTCATGAGTAGTTAAGGATGAGTTAATAGTGATGTGCCCCTCCAAGTAAAGTCATGACATAACTATACATTAACAGCTCATGAGTTCATGTTGGTTACATTTGGCTTTAACTTACATGTTAATTAATACATTAATTAACAACATGTCAGGGTTCTGCCACTTTGGTCTTGTAAATTCTTGTTTTGGTGGCAGAGCTCTGACACTACTCAGGTCTGGTCCTGTTCCTGTCTCTGTGTGCGCGCGTGCCGTTGTGGGTGTACGCAGAGTGTGCGCGCTTCTGCTTGACGCGGCCGCGCGCGCGCTCTGCGTCCCTCAGACGCGTGCGCTCTTGTACTCGTGTTTGTGTTTTCGTTTGTCAGCAGCGTGGTGTTTCATTCCCAGCGTCTCAGTCTTGTTGGTTTCGGTTTTGGTCGGCGCTGGGATGAAGCGTGTGAGCGCACGGTGAGTGTTTTCATTCATCATGTGCTCGTGTCTTGCATCTTTTGTCAAAGCACGTGGCTCGGTGTTTACATTGTGGTCACGTACTTTTGTCGTGTGCTTCAGTGTTGTGTTATGTGAGCGCATGGCTTGTATTGTCTCTCTGTGTCATGCGCTCTCCCGTCTATTGTCTAGTCCCACCCTCC